TTGTTTTATTTTGATCGGTGTCCGAGGGCTCTTTTCTCGAACGGTCGGTGCGATACCTGTTCTTTTCTTTCTATCATTTTGTATTCTTTTTCCGAGTGGTTTGTACCCTATTTTTTGTTTTTTTTTTCTCGCGGCTTCGCATGTGCCGGGTTTTGAGACCACGGGCTCCCCATTTTGTGTGGACTAGACTATAGAGCTAATGTGAGAAACAACAACAACAACAACACTACCACACCACCAAAACCGGAAAAACTGGAACCGCGACATTGCCACATATCCTAAAGACCATCCACCCTCGCCGCACGACACGTGTCCATGCATATACATACATACATACATAAAACATACATACGATGATGGCCAACTGGCCNCTCGCGGCGTCGTATGTGCCGGGTTTTGAGACCTCGGGCTCCCCATTTTGTGTGGACTATAGAGCTAATGTGAGAAACAACAACAAAANGTTACTCCCATGCCCTGGTGCGCAGTGCCTGGTGCTGGTACGTTACCCTTAAATTTTGTCTTTGGGCGGGTGTGGGAAGCGTCCTCCTTTATTTTTCTGTTATTTTTGTTTTGTTATATTTTGATCGGTGTCCGAGGGCTCTTTTCTCGAACGGTCGGTGCGATACCTGTTCTTTTCTTTCTATCATTTTGTATTCTTTTTCCGAGTGGTTTGTACCCTATTTTTTGTTTTTTTTTTCTCGCGGCTTCGCATGTGCCGGGTTTTGAGACCACGGGCTCCCCATTTTGTGTGGACTAGACTATAGAGCTAATGTGAGAAACAACAACAACAACAACACTACCACACCACCAAAACCGGAAAAACTGGAACCGCGACATTGCCACATATCCTAAAGACCNCTTTTCTTTCTATCATTTTGTATTCTTTTTCCGAGTGGTTTGTACCCTATTTTTTGTTTTTTTTTTCTCGCGGCGTCGTATGTGCCGGGTTTTGAGACCTCGGGCTCCCCATTTTGTGTGGACTATAGAGCTAATGTGAGAAACAACAACAAAAATACAATGATGGCCAACTGGCCAGCGGGTGTGCGCTGAAGACATGGCCGTGCTGTAACGGCCCCAAGCACTAGCCCATGTCCACAGCTTGAAAGAAGTTCGGGACGCTTCACGATCCATGATCCGACGACGGCGGGCNTGGTGGCGGTCTCAAACAACACGCCCTCAGCGACAGCAACAGCAGAGATAAAGGGTGTAGAGAAAGCGGTCTGACGCCGGAGATCCCTGCCGGTGAACCCACAAAGCATATCTTTTGTAGAGAAAGCGGTCTACCCACTAGACTACTTAGTCGCGGGACTAAGTAGTCTAGTGGGTAGACCGCTTTCTCTACAGAGAGGTGGACGGAACCACCGATCGAGTGGATCTAACGGGAAAACGNACTGTTTGTCGGCCGTACTCCGCGTACTTATCGGGACTTGTTTGTGTAGTATATAACTTCAGACGGTGAGACAACGCCCGTACCCAGGACGCTGTCGTGCTCGGAAAG